ATCACACAGACCTATTGAATTGTGGATTTATGTTTTTACCTGGTTTGAGTCTAAGGCATACTCATATATGAAACTGCTTGAAGCTGTCTCTGCATTTGGATGCTATTTTTATTTATGTTGTGTTTATCTTCCTTTTTATTTTGAGTAGTTCCTGTTTAAGTCTTCAAGTTTTTAGTAGTTTTTGTTGAAAGTTATAACTTCAGTTTAATTTATAGTATCAATTACATTATAATTTACTTTCTTAATAGTTTTATTTGAGTCTTTGTATATCTACTACATCTTTATGTAACTGCTGAACTTTTAATTGTGTAGAGTGCAATGATTAATATTTTAGTGTAAGGAAAACAATCTTGTGATTTGTTTTTGTTTGAATTCTAATCTCTATGCTACTTCTAATTCAGCTTCAGATGAAAATTTCCCCCTTATGATGGATGAGCAATGTTACTTCAGTCATGTGTAACTGTGAAGCATCACTAATATTTCTAAGTTATCCAACCCTTAACTGCATCTAGGTTCCTGATTCAGACTACTATACAACCATTGTGAGTTGACAGACTTCAAGTTACATGTGGCTCTTGCTTCTCTAGAATGTTTTGCTAGAAAATTAAGCCATTTAGTTTCCAGATTCTCAGTAGTGTCACCTTAATTTAGAAAGCCTGGAAAGATTCTTTCCATACACAGGCTGAATACCAGAAGTTGAGGCAAAATAAATGAGATTACTTCATATTTCTAATGCGTCGTCACTGTTATTATACTCTGATATGCAGTGTCTTACACATCATTGATTTATATGTTTTGTCCACTTATAATTTTAATGTGGCAAAGCATATATAACCGTTATCACTTTTCCACAACGTCTTGATAAATCTCTATTTCAACTTATTATCCTTGCAACCTGGCTATGTAATTTGAGGTAGAAATGTTGAGATGAATGAAAAACAAAGTGAATTTAATTCACAGAGGAAGACAACAGTGGCATAGGTATTTTTAACAAGAAAGGAAACCAGGCATGGATCTTGATCTTAAGGCCAGCCTGGACTATATGAGGAGATGCTATCTAAAAAATCTTACAGGGTTTATACTGAGTTCAATATTGTATAACTGTATTAATTCAACTGTGAAACTAAAAATTTTATAGCTACTTTTGAAAGAGATTTATCTTTGCTCTGGAAATTGTTGTTATGTTAAAGCTGTAATGAAACACTTCTTCTAAAAATAAAAAAATCTTGATAAGGATCACATATTTATGTCAATAAAGAAAAAAGATCTAAAATGAATAATATAACTATAACATTATTATGCATATAATAACCTCTTTTCTATAACTGCTTTATTTTTTCATTTATTTGTTTTCATTTTCATGTGTATGAATGTATTGCCTTCATGTATGTAAGTGCACTTGTGTCATGTAGTGCCTGTGGAGGACAGAAGAGGGTGTTAGATTGCCTGGACCTGTAGTTATGGATGATTGTTAGTTGCCATGTGGATGCTGGGATTCAAACCCTGATCTTATTCAAGAATAGTGGGTGCTAGAGGTGGCTGAGCCATCTCTCCAGTCCCTCTATAACTTTTTAAAATCCTACAATTACAGGTCTCAGTTTTTCATTCTTACGAAAAAGGAAAACAATATTTAAATTAACAAATGACCTTACACATATCTTTATGTTCTGATTCTTATGAGTTATGGCTAGACCCAGAATCATAAGTGTATGTCTATGTGTCTGTATGTCTGTCTGACTGTCTCTCTTTCTGTGTGTGGTGTATCCATGCATGCATGCATGTATAACTTTATACTCATAAGTGTGAGCTCATGATTCTACAGTTTGACATTGGGATGCCTTTCCTTAATTGGTTCTGAACATTTATTTTGAAAAAGTTTCTCACTAACATGGATCTTGCCACTTTGGATAGAATGATTGGCTACTGAGACCCTGAGATTTACCTTTCTTTGTCCCACCTCCAGAATTGGGGATACAGACACACCATAACTCATTTTTGAGGGTGCTGGAGATTCAAAATCTAGTCCCCAGGTTTGCACCATATCAAGCTCCTAGAAACTTGGTTATCTTAATATTACCCTCTGTAGTATTAAAAACTGTTGACAAAAATGTGATCAGTAGAAGAGGGTGTGGTGTTGTTATGGAATGAGGCCCACTTTGCCAATAGCCTAGTAAGGCAGACAGTGGAATGGGGTTTGCTGAAGACAGTTTACTCGTGTAGTTGCCAAACATGGGGTTTGGAAAATAAATCTGAAATATTACTCCTGAGAGACTAGCATTCATAAATATTTACGGGATAAAGAATCAGGGTGATTTAAGGCATAGGCAAAGATGATGGGAGTGAAGGTAATCAGTATTTGATTCATGTGTAATCCATCTTCATATATATCCACAGGATGCATGTTCAGCTTCATGAAATCAAAGTCACTCATATGACATTTACAGTGGCCCAAAGGAAATGTCAGTGGCTTCAACAAAAGTGACCTTCAAATCTGTGACAAGTAACCTACACAACCCTTATGAACATGATGAAACTGTCAGAGGTGTTATCTACAACAAAGACAGTGCAAGACCAATAATATACTGCTGTAATATGTGATCTCCAAAGATGGTGACTTTCTTTTCTACAGGGTTTGCTTCATTTTTTTACATGTAGTAGAAGTTAAGAGCATGAATTGACACATGAGCAGATTTGGAGGTCATATGATAGAATACATCATGGAGTTTAGAAATACTATAACCATGCTACCTCTCAAATAAATGTTTATTATTTTTATTTTATGTGTGTAAGTATATTGCCTGCATGTATGTCAGTGCACACATGTCATGCAGTCTCACAGAGGTAGGAAGAAGGCATTGAATTTCCTTGGAACTGGAATTATGGAAAGTTGTTCGCCACCATGTTAGTGCTGGGAATCTAATCCCAGTCTTCTATAAGAGCAGCCAGTGCTCTTAACCACTGAGCAATCTCTCCAGTTTATTATTTTTATCATATGTGTGTGTGTGTGTGTGTGTGTGTGTGTGTGTGTGTATTGTCTGCATGTGTGCAAGTAAACCTGTGTCAGGCAATGCCCCTTGAGGTCAGAAGAGATCATTGGAATCCTTGGAATTGGAATTACAGATGGTTGTTAGCCAACACGTGGGTGCTGGGAATGGAACCTGGGTCCTCTGCAAAAGTGGCTATGCTGCTAACCACCTAGACATCTCTCCAGCCCTGGTTTCTGAATATTGTTTTTACTTAGGTATTAGTCAATGTATTCAACATCTTGCATATATGATTGTTCATATGTACATGCACCTCTGTGTGCAAGTGTGTGAGAGTGAGTTTCTGTGCAAGTGGAGGCCAGAGTTTTAAGTCAAGACTCTTGCTCAATCTCTATCCACCTTCTTTTTGGAAATGCTGAATTTGGAGCTTGTAACTGAGCTAGGCTTGCTGTGTAGCAAGACATGAGGATCTTGTCTCTACCTCCCCAACATTGGGATTGCAGGTGAATTCAACCACACCTGGCTTTTTGAATGGGTGCTGGAGATCAAAATCAGTGTCTTATACTTGTATGGGAAGCACTTTACAAACTTAGCCATCTCCCCAGCCCCATAAATTTTTGGAGGGATACATTAAATCTGATTATGTCTGTATTTCTGTAGAAGCCAATGGCTTAGCCAGGCATGGTGGCACACGCCATTAAGCCCAGCACTTGGGAGGCAGAGGCAGGCAGATCTCTGTGAGTTCAATGCCAGCCTGGTCTACATAGTGAGTTCCAGGACAGCTACAGCTACAGGGAGACCCTGTATCAAAAATACCAAAAAAAAAAATTAAGAGCTTAAATATGAGTTTAGCATGGTGGTAAAATCCTAGCACTCAGGAGGTGGAAGGACAAGGATCTGGTGTTCAAAGCCTTCCTCAGTTGCATAACAAGTTAGAGTTCAGCCAGAACTACATGAGATTCTAAACCAAAACCAAAACCAAAACCAAAACAAACAAACAAAAATCTGGTCAACTGGCTTGGCAGGATACACCACGGGTTCAATACTGACACAAATATTTTGGGACTAACCAGCTGCTTTTCTAATTGGATTTAAGGAACACTCCATAAGATAGAAGACATGCCTGGCAACCATTATCAGGGCCAGGAACTTATGGATATATCGGTCGTAAACCCTAGAGGTGAACCTACTACCATTTATCTGCTGAATGAATATAGTATTAAGCAGACTCCTAATAATTTATCACTTATAATGACAGATTAGTACATCCCTCAAGCCTTATCAGAGTAGCTTCCTTTTGCAGTATATAATTAACAGAGACCCACAACTGGTTAAGTTACAGAAAATAACGGACTTTGGAGTGCTCAGCCCTAAATGGAACATCTTTATCATATCCCCTTCTTCCAAGATTAAGTGATCATTGTGAGAGGGTGTGGAAAGATAATAGGAACTGGAAAGTAAATGTTTATACTGAAATAGTGTTTTCTGGATTGAATATGGAATTTGCATGTATGACTCCAAAGTTGCTGTGACAGCATGCATGCACAAGACTTATTCATGATCAAGTTGGTCATGAAGTCCCACTTCTAACTGAGCAGCTATTTCTGATTGATAATTGTTCTGAGAGTGAGATCCAGTACTCATTAAAGGATGTGGCCCCTGGTAGGTTGACCACATTCCAATGAATGACTCTATCTATACTGAGGGTTATATGGGCATCAAAACTGGACTTGATAGGTTTATAAAAAGGAAATGAAATTGCGGGGAACTAGGTAGGTTATGTGGACCTTGAAAGAGATAGGGAGAGAAGTTTTATTTTTTATTTTTTAAGTTCAAGCTTATATTGAAATTAGTGCTCTGTAGGCAATTAAAACAACCATTTTTCAAGGCATAAAGACCTCAGCCATCATCATTTTGTTTTCTTGATTCCTTGATAGGTTTTTCCATTACCCCAAAGCAAAGAACAATTTAGAAAAGCACACCCAGAAACCTGGCATCCCACAGCTTAATAGCCAAGAATGTTAATTGTGTCATTCAGAATTCAATGCCACTTAAATGGTGACAGCTTTGCCAATAAACAAGAACATACCCTTCCATAGGTAGGAAGGGAGACTGCCACACCTGGCAGGTTCCAAAGATATATGGAGAGAAGTTGGATTTTTAATCTGAAAATAAATTCTATTGTTTTCAAAGTATTAGTAAAAGTAAATTTTTAAAAAGGTGTGGGTAAGACAAACTTCATTTGCTATTAAAATGGAATGTGTGATCTTCTTTGAAATATAATTCAAACACAGCAGTCATAAAGGGATGCTTTATGAAAGCATTATTGAATACCCAATAGCAAGTCAAAAATTATTTAATTTCAAGACATGATAATAGAATGGATTTATGTAAGAAAATGTTTTAGAGATGCATAAAAAGGTATAAAATGACCCAACATCAAGATAGTTGGAATTTGTTCTAAAATATTCAGGCAAATTGACAAATCTATTTAAGAATTTAATAATTATGTAAGTGATGAGCAAAGGATGATTCATTGTGTTGCTCCATTTTGTGTATGTTTATTTAAGTGTTAAGACAATGTCTCATTGTGTTGCTATATCACACAGGCTGGAATCAAACTCTTGGGCTCAGACATACTTCATTCTTCATCTTGCCAAGTGCATGGACTGCTGACATGTACCATCATAATTGATTGTTTTTTTTTTCTCTCTCTCTCTGTCTCTCTCTCTCTCTCCCTCTCTCCCTCTCCCCCTCTACCCCTCTCCCCATCTCTCCCTCTCCGCCCTCTCCCCTGCTCTCCCTCTTCCCCTCTCTCCCTCATCTGATTTCCCAGTGCTGGGATTACAGGCACATGTTAAATGTTGGTGATTTGGAAAGTCAGCATACTCGTGCTTCTCTTAATTCCATCATCCTCTGTGTCCTTTCCACTTCTATGTATACAGATTCTTTGAGCTTTGTCAGAAGTGATCTACCCAGGGTGACAGAAATTTCAGGACCCATTCATTTACCAGCAGAGTGAAAATCAGGTCATGTTGTTACCAGCCCAGAAGAAATTTCCATACATTATAAAACAAAACACACAATCATACTGGCAAAATATAATAAGGATTTGAAAATATTTATCTAAGACAGGCAAATGAAGCTAAATATTGGATAATAATTTTCACTTCATTCAAATGAGAAAAATTAAGAAGGAAAGAAAAGGTACACACGACTGTCTACTGGGGAATGATAAATATGGCCAGAAAGAGGTTAAAGTGGAAATTGTGGCCTATAATCTTGTCTCAAGAACATAGGGAGAAATAGAAAGTATGTTTGTCATCAAGTTCAAATCCTTTAAATTGCAAGATAGCTTCTATTAGAAAGAAGGTGAGAAAATTCACCTGTGATATTCAGTATAAGGAAGAATCTTTTTTTTTTTTTTTTTTTTTAACACTACATGTGTGGGATCTACGGGGGAATAGTATAGATAGTTGTAATATTCTCTGATATTTCAGTCCAGAGGGCATGCAGGAAACTTGAATATAAGCTGCAGAGGAAGACTTGTAGCTTGGGGTCAACAGCAGCTTTATAGTGGGATAGACCAGGATGGGTTCATGGAGGAGAAAGATTGGAGGGTTCTCTGAAGAGTTAAGGACTAGTGAGTCGAGAAGCAAGGGAGGGAAGGAAGAGACAAGTGTGCCTGTGGCACTGGAGGCCAGTGGATCTTCAGCGAAGTGGGTAACAGTCATGATAAACACAGCAGGAGCTGGAGGCAAGGAGGGGAGGCAAAGCAGGCACAACTCTCAGAGGAGTGCTCATTGTGTTGAAGAACTTTGAAAGACTGAGTTTATTCATGAAATGTTTCTCTAGTACATGAGGTCTGTCTGTGAGGAAGGCAGTCAGGACAAGTTTCTCTTTCCTGGGTTTATTTCCTGTGTCATTTCCAGGAAGTTTGGATCTAGGAAGGGTCCAGGTGTTATTGAAAGAGCTTCTGGGCACATGGACTAGAAGGCTTGGAGACCTCAAGTGCTTCTGTCCTCTGTTATGCTCCACTGCTCAGAACTCTACCCGACCTGGACAGTAAGTTCAGGTCAGATCATTCAGTTGCCAGCTGTTGAAAGTTCTCTAGAAATTCAGTCTGGCAGCTCACGTTGCCCCCTAGTGTCCACGTCCTGGAGGCTGCAAAACTGCCTGCCAGGAAGCTGCACATGAGCAGGATCCGCTGCTGCGTGGAGAAGGAACTGCAGGTTCCTACAGCAGCATGGCAGGCCGCTCCGCAGAAGGTAAGCCTTGGGGATGGCCTGGGTGGCATCCAGGGACAGAAGGGGGTGAATCGGAATGGCGGGGGAGGAAGCACCCTGGGATCTTGGCAGGCCTTCATGAGATGGTTCTCAGCATGCATGGCGATGCCCTGGTGTCTGCATCCTGTTCTGTATAAAGCCTTCGTGATTTTTCCGTGAGTCTCAAATCCTAAGAGGTTGTTTGGTATTATTCTTCTGTAACATGTCCCCATTTGCTTTCCACATGAAGCCATATTGTAGGTACCTACATTTTTACTGGTGGGTATTTATAAAGCATTTGCCATTCTAGCAAACAAAAGAAATTACCATATATTGGTATATATTTAGTCATTACTAAAGAATAATATTTCATTATTTCATTGGGGATTCACTTCTGCATGCCCTGAAGTAAAGGATGTGTATGGGTATGGTGTGTCTGATTATTTTCGGATAATTGTATTGTAAATTGTTAAAATAGCAGTATTCCTTTGTAAAATCACTTGTGGCCTCATTTGTTTTTAAAATATATTTTAATTCATTATTTGAGAATTTCATACACATATACACTGTATTAATATCATAGCCACCCCCATTCCTCCTCCAACTCTTTCCTAACCCCACCCATACTATACCTCCCTCCCAAATTCATGGGGTTTTTTTTTGTTTGTTTGTTTTGTTTTTTAAATATGTAACCCACAGAGTCCAATTTGTGCTTCTGATATGTATATGGGTGAACTGCCATCCACTGGATCATGAGAAATCTCCCAGGGGCCACACCCCTGAAGAAAATTGCCTCTCCCTCTACCAGCAACCATCAACTGCTAGGCCCAGATGGACAAAGCGCACAGGTTTTTTCTCTTATATGTGGACCCTAGGTTTAAATCTTTGGATTTGTATTTTTAATGTAGAGTATCCATTGAAACCAGGAAATTAGAAAGGGTCTATTTTGGGGCGAGGGGTGGCAGTGGGGGTGGGATGGGGAGCAGTAGAACAATACAGGTGGATTTACATTTTTATTATCTTTAAAGTGTTATAACTCTCCCATCCTACACACCTTAATTTATATTTAATTGGCTCTGCCTTTGTAGGTACATAGAACAAAAAATTTAGAAACTATTTGAGGCCTTCCTTCTTTCTGACATGTATTCAAACATTTAGATTTTGCTTAAACTTCTGTTGCTACCAAGAGGCAATGCTCATTGTGTGTGCTCTCTGCCAAAGCCTAAATTTCCTCATTTCCTTACAGATTTCCCCATTGTGTTCACTGAAGAGTGCTGTTGGAGAAGAACATCTTCCCACCAGGTCTATTATTATTTTTAGAACTCTCTTGAGTCTAAATCTGGTTGGCTGACATAACAAATACATATATCTGTGTAAAAAATCATAGATATACACATGACTATAATCATATAAATATGTGAGCATGTGTATCTCTACTGAGTGTATGTATGAACAAATCAAGTAGAATAAATCTACCTAGTGTCCTTTATTTATGTATATTCTCCCTGTCAGTGAGAAATTTGGCTCCATTGATTTGATCAACTAGACCATAGATATGTGCAAAGTGGTTCCAGAATTTGAACTTCACACCAAGGAAGAAAAGTTACCCACTAAATGAAGCATTAGCTGACATCCCCCTTCTCTAGATGTACGAGGTCTTATCACTTCCTAAGCTCCTGGGTAAGCTCCCCTTCCCTCTACTTCTTTTAGAAGGTAAGAGTATTTCAAAACTCATACAGGAGTTATTCATTTGCAATGTTCCCTGAGATAACTGAACATATTATGTTTCTTAATTTATAGTCAATGTAAATGCATTCATTTTTCTCATTTATTATTTATTTATTTATTTATTTATTTATTTATTATTTTCGAGACAGGGTGTCCCTGTAGCCCCAGCTGGCCTAGAGCTCACTATGTAGACCAGTCTGGTCTTGATCTCACTACAAGTGCTGGGATTAAAGGCATGCACCAACACACCCAACTGTAAGTATGTTCTTCATGTTATAAAATGATGTAGAATTTTCAAAACAATGCAATATAAAATATTTTCAGTGTCATAGGAAAAATCATCTGACTTTAGCCTGTGCAACTTTCCTCTGCCCCAAAAGTATGTAGTCACCAACCGTTTTAGTACTTTATCTCCTCTATATCTCTTCTATATATCACTTTTGCCTGATGTAAATGGCTATGCATCATTTTGTATTTCTTTAACTTTCTTATTTTACTTGACAATATTCACTTTGGATTCATTCCCTAGGGTCTGAAAGTATTGAGGCATGTTGTGCTAATTGGGTATTTATAAAGCTACTAAGGGGACAGGTCTATTGGAAAATTATTTAGTTTTAATTAAGATTGTCTTCTTTTAACTTTAGAGCTGTAAGTTATTTTGTATATTATGGAAAATACATCACTATCAGGTACATGAAAATCTTTGTTTCATTTACTGAGATGTCTTTTCATTTTTTTTCATGGTACCCTTTTTGTTTCTGTTTTTTTATTGTTACTTTGTGTTAATGTTTTGTTGGGATTCATAAGCCAATGCAGGGAGAATCTGGGGAAAATTTAGCAAAATGAAGGATGCATGAGACACAGCTAGTGAGTATATTCCATCATGTGAGGTATTTTTGCAGAGTCTAAGTAGGTAGCGTAATTTCAGCTACCTGCTGACTCTCCCCTCAAAACGTGATCTCTTATGGCAATGATTGTTCTAACAAAATTAAGTTTTTCTACTTCTGTGTGATCTCCTTCTGATTTCCCATGTCCCCATATATATATATTGCTTGCATGTATATAAGTTCACCCATGCCATGCAATGCCCGTGGAGGTCAGAATAGGATGTCAGACTCCCTGGAACTGGAGTTAGCATGATTGTTAAATGCTATGTGAGGAATTGAACCCAGGTCCTCTGCAAGGGCAGCCAGTGCTCTTAACTGCTGAGCCATGTCTTGAGTCCATATTTTTATATAATCTGTTGAATCAATTTAGAGCTTCTTGCTTATGTATTTGATCAGAGCTGACTTTTTTGGATTGATAATTTAGCAGGGAATTCAGCCCTGGAGAAAAGTGTTTTTCTCTCCATCATCAACCACTTATTGCCTGGAAGGCTTTTGTAGGCAACACTATTTTTGAGATTTCATGTGTGCAGCTTCCTTATCATTTCCAGAATACGCCACCTAGCAGAAGGCATCCTGGTCCTCTGGCTGTTAGAGCCTTCCCACCCCCATTTCTGGTCTGTTTTCTTTGCCTTATGTATAAGGGGTGCATTATAGATGTATCAATTGGGGCTGGTATCACCACAGGCACTTATTCTCTGCATTAGATCAGTTTGGGAAATTTATAATAGTCTCCATCTATTGAAAAAACAAGTGTCTTTGATGAATGCTGAGGACTACATTTATCTATGAATATAAATATAATTTCAGCATTAGTTTTTTTTTTCAGTGAAACAAAACATATGAAATAGCTGGGGTTTGGATGGGGTCTGCATTTATTTCTAGATATGTTTAGAAATCATTGTCAAAACAATATTTGTCCTACTATTCAATAAGTCTAGAACTTTAAAAAATGTATAACTACTATACTTTAACATTTTATTGCAAGTTTTAAATAATGTTGTTTTCTTCCCCTACAGTTATATGTTCTTTGCATTTCTTTCCCTCTTTTCTCTCTTCTCTTTCAATTTCTTTAAAAGTAAATTCATTGCCAAACATTTTCTTTTGGAGGTTATTTTACTTATTATTGTTGGTTTTGTTTTAAACAGACTTTTCCTGTTAAAAACAGCTCTTGTGACCAAGAGTGAAGCAACGGAAATTGGTGTCCAGCCAGCCCTAGCCCAGGATCTGTTGGAAACTGATCACTACTGGGTGAGGGAGAGTAGAACTTATTTAAGGTCTCTAGATAGGCTGGCTAGACTTCAGTGGATGAATTTTCATGGATGGACATCCGGGTACAAATGCTTAACTGGATAGGATCTAACATGTATGGTGGGATGCATGAGGTTGGAAGAGGGGTGGTGGTGTATGGGGACATGGATGTAGAAGTTGTCTAAATTTGATTAAGAAGTGTTGTATAAAATGTGCAAAAGCCAAATAAAAATTAAAACAAATACAAAAAAATCCTCAGCTCTTTCTCTTCTTTCAGACTTATGCACTTAACTGTCGGGATGCTCTATCCAGAGTCTTCTAGTAATTGCTCTATTGACACAGACTACCACACCCAGTTGATGGTATTGTAAATGTAATTGCCTTGTGAGTTAACTGTATATTGTTAATTCTTTTGTATAAAATCTAATGAAATTTCATGTCATCATATATGCTAATACTTTTATTAATTTACATTTAGTTGTAATTTTATTTTTATGGATTTTGTAGGATCAAAAAATCAATTATGTCTGTGTCTGTGTATGGGTATATGCATGTGAGTCGGGGTACATCTGGAGGACAGAATAGTGCATCAGATCCACTGGAGCTGGAGTTACAGGAGATTTTGAGCTACCTGATATGGGTGCTGGGAAACAAACTCACTTCCTCTCCAAGGACAACAACATTGGTTAACACAGTCCCCTGATTTTTTTTCCATACAGAAGATTATTTCCTTTGTAAATAGTTTCAGTTTTTCCTCTGTGTCATATGGAAAAGATATATAGGAACTAAACATATACTTATTTTTCTATTAAGTTCCCTGAGGGTTAAGCTCCAAAATAAGCTTTAGTATAGATGAGAAGATTGGGTATTTCCTTTTAAATGTTTTCTTTTGAGGGTGAGTGTATATATTTGTATATGTGTAAGTGTATATGTACATGTGTGCATGATTGTGTGTGCATGTCTGTGAAGACCATAGATTAACCTCAGGTATTGATTAACAGGAGCTGGCCATCTGATGAACTTACAGTTTAGACATCAGCCTTGACCATGCTGCGCATCTGCATTCCAGAACCAGAGAACCAGCGAGTCATCCATGTGTGGTGCTGAGCCAGGAAGCCATGCAGTAAGTCTAAGACAACTGACACTAAATCTAATACGGATCCTAGTTTGGAGCAATAAATAGAAAATGATTACACTCATGGAAATTTGGTAATATAAGTAAAATTGGAAAGTTGAGCTAATACTTTGTAGCACTGTCAACTTTACTTTCTTTAATTTTTATTTTATGTGTATCAGTGTACTGCCTGTGTGTGTATAAGTGCACCAGTGTCGTGCAATGCCTGTGGAGGACAGAAGAAGGCATCGGATTCCCTGGAACTGCAGTTACAGATGATTGTTAGTCACCACCTGAGTTCTGGGATTCAAACCTGGGTCTGCTTAACCACTGACCCATCTCTCCAGCCCCAGATTTGTTGTTTGTATAAGTACATGATAGTTAAATAACATGTTGACATGATAAGAAACTGAATGGCATAGGAAACTCTTTGTGCTGACTTGAAATTTTCTGTAATTCTAAAATAACTTCAAAAGAACTTTAAAAAAAGATATTGATGTGGTACAGCCCCCATCCCAAAACAAAGAATATTTATGCAGGGTTTCAGGAGCAAAATATACATTTAGAAAGAGAATACCTGAACAGTTTCCATTAATATCCAGTATTCCAGACACAAGTGCACCTGCCTCATCAAAATCAGAATTTTTTTTCTTCTTTGTCCACAAAGAGCTCTCTAGTTACAGTCAAAAGTTTGAGTGGTGGTCTCCAACTTGCTTCTCCAAATATACATCTTTAAGACATTTTCTTGCAGATTACCTGAAGGATCCTTGGCTCTGAGGAGATGACTTAGATGTTAAGAACAGAGGCTGGAGAGATGACTTAGCAGTTAAGCAAACTGAATGTTTTGGCAGAAGATCCGGGTTCGAATCCCAGCATCCACGTGGCAGCTAACAACTGTCCATAACTCCAGTTCCTGGGGATCCAACAGCCTCTTCTGTCCTCCATGGGCATTGCAGGACACAAGTGCACTTACTTACATGCAGGCGTAACACTCATACACATGAAATAAAAATAATAAAATATTAAAAAGGGAATGGATAGTGCTCCTGCAGAAGACCAGGTTTTGGTTTCCAGCACCCAGGCCAGGTGGTTCACTGCAGCCTGTAACTGCAGCTCCACTGGTGAAGCCTCTCGCCTCTGTGAGCACCTGTATTCTCAAGCACATATTGTTTCCCCTACACATAATTTTAAAAATAATAAAATAATCTCAAGTATTTTGTTAATGGTGGTTTGAAAAACATGACATCTGGTCATTATAAACAATGTATATGAGTCAACTTTCCATTATTGTTGCAAGATATTTGAGAATATCAAAAGCCTTCACTTTTGTCACAGTTTTGGAAGTTACAATAAGTTATCCACATGTATTTTTGAGTCCATTACTTTCTGGCCAGGAACAAGGCAGCACATCAAGGAAGGAATGCACAAGTCATAGAAAGATGCTGACTTAATGGCTCAGAATTGAAAACAGAGGGGAAAAAAGTTAAGGATCTCACAATACCTGGGCACAGTATGTCTCCTCATGTCCTAATGCCCTTACTCTAGGCCACATATTATATCCTAGCACCTCCTTGTAGAAGCATGCTAGGGCATGAATCCTTAAACGCCAATGTTACCCATGGGACCTTATGGAACACTTAAGATAACTGTAGCACCAGGATTGCAAATGTCCACAAAAGGTAAGAGAAGTCATTTAAACATTACTGTATTCTTGGTGCATGCATTTAGTTTGGAGTTTCAAGATATAGCTTTACCTAAGAACATTTGAGATAGCCATCTGGAGAGAGGAGAAAGAGGGAGAGAGAGAGAGAGAGAGAGAACAGTAAGACAGAGACAGAGACAGAGAGAGAGAGAGACAGAGAGAGAGACAGAGAGAGAGACAGAGACAGAGAGACAGAGAGACAGAGAAACAGAGACAGAGAGAGGCAGAGAGAATGCTGCAGCATGGTGCCAAAGCCATTGTTGAATTGTTTATGACTGCATTTAGACATGAGTTTAAAGGAAGGAAGTAGTTTTCAGGAGGTCGTGTTATGTCTGAGAGAATATTGATGCATACGCATTTCTTCCTTGACCATGGGGCAAACAAGGATCAGTGGAACAATTCAAATATTTGGTTTGTTTTTTCTCTAAGAAGCTTATTATGAGGTAGCAGTTTTATGAGATGGGCAGCTGAATGGACCTCTTTGAGGAATTTGGAGGAGGCAGAGAAAAAGAAGGAATCGAGTATGTGTACACTGTTCTTATTTTACAATAATGTTAAACTGATACACAAATGATTATGATACAACATAAATTTATGACTTCATCATATCATTTAAATAGTAATTACATTAGTCTGTAATTACTGTAAGGGCTCCCATTACCAGATAGGGGACAAATGAATGTTTTTATTTTAATGAAATTTTATTTAAACATATTTTATTAGGACCAGAAAGGTGGCTCAGTGACCAAGAGCACTAGCTGCCCTTGCAGAGGAACCAGGTTTAATTCCCAGCACCCAAGTTTTGGCTAACAACCACTAGTAAATCCAATTCCAGGGTAATCCAACACCTTCTTCTGACCTCCACTGGCATTGCACAACACAGCTAAACTTACATACATTCAGGCATACACTCATACATATAAAATAAAAATAATAAATAAAATACTTTAAACATGTTTTATCATACTACTCCAGATTATAGCTGAGCCATCATGGTGTTACATTTGAAATCACAGAGAATAATATTTTTTTTCATTAATGATAGTGTATTTACATCAGTAGGAATGGTAGGTTAGCCAGAAAGCAGTCATAGTATAACTAACCCTATGAAATCACGCATGTGCTTAGTCAGAAAACATTCCTCAGCCCCTTACAGAGATACACAACTTGTGGAGGGGATGATACAGCTGAGAAATGGAGTTTATCAAGGAATGTGAAACATTAAGAAGTATATCATAAAAACATCATATCATCACAGACATTGTTAATGTTGGGAAAATGACAGACAAGGGGATAGGAAGGCCTGTCACAGAGTTTGATCTGAAGGGAAGAAAGTTCAGCATTTGTGTTAATATTTACTTCCATTTCATACAATCATAGAAATGCTATTGTGAATATTAATACATTTGAATATAATTACAAGAGAATTTAGTAATGAAGTATAAGTGTTAAGAAATAATCATGTCACACTTTCTTAGTAATTTTTCATAGCTATGCAGGAAATGAAGGCTTGATGACCAATGCAAATAATATTTCTGAGAAAAATAATCAGTATTAGAAAATAGTCTTAGTGATATATATATATATATATATATACATACTTTTAATTAGTCTCTTGTACCTATGTATAGTTACATCATTCAGTTCTCATAACATGTCAGGGAGTCGGCACTAGCCCCACTTCCTTCCCCATTTTGAAATCTGAGATAATACCTGAAGAAATGAATAGAAAACAACAACAACAAAGCTGTTCGGCTGTGCCTCAGTATTTAGAAAGTCAAATAACCTTGTTAGAGTGTTGCCTCATATGTATAGAACTGCTGTGTAACTACTTACTGTAAACCAAAATATCCCATTCTGGAGGGAAGAAGTTTATTCATAAGACTTAGGAACTTAAGCACCTTACAAGACTCATTAGCCTCAGCAAGTTACATGGCTCATGATGCCGTGCTGTTTTTCCTTTTTTTTTTCTTCCTGCTGCCTGAATCTCAGTAACTCTATATTACCACAGACATACCCAGCAGATCTGAGCCTGTGTGGACATTTCAAGGTGGAACCAACAAGCAGAGAAGACCACATGGCCACAATCTCCCCCAAACATACTTTTTATTGGTGATATCACCAGATCCAGCTGAGCTCAGCCTCTGTGCACCTGTGTAGCAGGTACTGCTGACACGTACCTTCTAAGGCAGGAATGGAATTCAGCTCATTTATATAAACATGAAATTGTTAAAGAAGCAGTCTGCTTCAGTTATTTACAATAGCCCCACTTTTAAAACTTTTACCTGAAAATGTTACATTTTCATATGAATTTTGTTTTAATGTTATCTAAATATCTAAGGCTACATTTTAATTATTTATTTGATGATGTACTTTTGTTTCTGTATTTGAAATGCATACTTACAATTTTTCAAGATTATTTTCAAGGATTCTGAGTTTTTCATTTTATTAGTTAATTGGATAGGGAATATTTGTTTTTAAGTAGAGACACTATTCAAAATTTAAATTTTCTGAAAACTCTAAAACACAATTGACCTGGAAAGATAAAGAAGGAAAATGTTTTCCAAAGAAAAAAAATTCTTGGTTAGGTAATCAAAATCTCATGGTTAGGACATTCTACAGATGGTTTCATTGTATAGTTAAGTTTTATTAATTGTTAAATGTTACAAAGACATTTACATATGTCACCTTCCTGAATACAGAGGCTAGGTCACTTACTACCATGCTCTTGTGAGTTTCGTTGCCTTTCCTTGCTCTCTTTAATTGGATGCTGCACTACCTGGAGGCCTGGATTTTTCTCATCTCACTTTTGCACCTATCTTCAAGGCGTATCCTTATGAAGATGCTCCATAATACAGCTATGTATTGTTTTTTAAATGTTTAATGAATGTTTAGGAAGTAATTTTAGTGACATAAATATTACTTAAAAGTGTTCACACATATCTTACAGCACAAGGCTTTTAATATTGATTGGTATAAAATGAAATTTAAATATTTATTTATTTTATCAATGTATGTTTTACTGAATTTTTGTGCATTTCATCTTAATCATATCCAGACCCCTTCTCCTACCTGCACATCTTTAGAAACTCCACTGAATTTCATTCATTCTGTCATACATGCCAAGGCCTATCAAGCTAAGTTTGTGTACCAACATGTCCCTTGGTGTGAGTTCTTCCACTGGAGTCCATTCAGTCTATCTCAAGTCACTTCCCCAAAGAAAATTTTATTTACGTTTGTTACCAGCTCATATATTACTTCAGAAATGTTTTCATGCTTGTATCTGACATACATGATCAA